TTTTATGTAGATTTTTATACACACTGATAAAAAATGAACAAATTTTCTTGACTGAATAATGAAAATATCTAACAATTATAAGTTGAAATTAGATCTAGAGTAAGAATAAATCAAGTGATAGAAAGGATATATCTTATTTTCAGTCTAAGCGAATTTTGGTGTTTATTCAAATTTGCAAATACATTTTTCAGTTCTGTATATTAATATTGTAATAATGCTTATTAGCATCATTATTAAAAATTGACGATCAACGTAATTTGTGATGTTATTTCTGACCTCAATTTATGATTGCGTTTCAAATCCGATAAACCGATTCGGCGAGCAGTTGATGGAATTGAAAAATGTATTTGCAAATTTGCATATGAATGCTACTGAACACCAAGATCTGCTTCGATCTAAAATAGGATTATATTCTTATTTGAAAATATCTAATATATCAAAAAGCAAAGTTTATTTTGAATTAAAATGAGATTGTTTTCACTCATAATCAGCTAGTAATTAATCGGACATATTTCGAAGACAATCAATATAAAAAAGAGGGAGATACTATTCCTCTCATAAGTTATAAGCTAACGGGTCGACCCTTGGTGAAGGGAATTTATGAGATGCCGGAGAAGAGAAAGAGGCAGCTAATAAAAATATACAATCTGTGATCTTCTCTGCGGCAGAGGAACTTTAAATTGACTATTTTCAAGGCTGACTTTAAAGTAGGCTCATTGATTTGGAGGTCCTAGAACAGCCATGTATCTTAACCTTGGTAACCTTAGAAATACTCCTGGAGTCGCGCCAGTCTCCGAACCGGTTGGTTAAACGAACTGTTTCCGTCAGTGTGTCAACTCCACTTACATTAATTAGCATTCAGATCTCATCGGTCTTATTCGCCGATTGTTCGACTAAGTTTGTATATTATTGTAACTTGAAATATTCTAGCAATTTCAGCTCGTTGGAGCCTCGTGCCATGGTCAACGTGCGAGAGGCTCAATTGCGACAAAACGAAAATAGCGGAGAACTTTCAACACGCTATTTCAAGTGCATCGAAATTAAACAGCTGTCGCGGTACATGGCCAACACAGTCACGCAAAACGTTATAGTTACCTACCAAAGCGTCCGGTGATTCGACTCTCCCGTTATCGCGAAATATATCAAATCCGCAAATGATGACTTTGGACCACGTCCAGAATCCGTGAGTTTAGTTCTCGGGAAGATGAGTCGCGCACAAAGGCCACTCGCATTTCACTTTGCTACTTATTATTGATCAACTTCTGTCGTTCGGTGTGTTCCTCCTGGAGGCAGTAGTTGACCGACTTCTGCTACTATCGCTTCATCACAGTGTGACAAATTTGCGTATCAATGAATACTGACATCGATAATAGTAGTGTGGCGCACACGGTTTAATTCTACGTAGAAAGGATGGTTTTGTAGTATTTAAAAATTTAATTAAATACAGAAAAAGAGAGAGAGAGAGAGAGAAAGCTAAAAATAATTTTGTTGGCCTATCAAAATAATTATATATAACACTCAAGTTGATTACTAGACTTTTGGCAGGATTGTTATCATGCTTGAGTTTTCTACATTATTATTTTGATAGCTCAACAAAATTATTTTCAGATCTATATCTAGCTAAATTTTTAAATACATACTTTAAACAAAGTTGTTCTCTCCGTATAGCTCTGTTCTTTTATTCCTGCTTTTATTATTAGACTACACTAGAATTTTCTTTCTCGTTTTCAAATATCAAATATATACCTATTTCATTTCAAGTTCCAAAGGTATGTGTATACTAGTTCAGTTATAGAAAACAGATCTTATATCTCCTCATGTTTATTTATCATATCGGCGTTCAAACGATTAGAGATGCACAGAAAGGATAATTTTGCTAAAATATCTAAAAATTTACAGGCTTGATGCAGATCTGAAAATAATTCTGTTCGTCAAAATAATATTATGTAGGACGCTCAAACTAGTTGCTAGAACGTCAAATCTTTATGTAACTTGCTCATCATACTTGAGATTCCTATGTGTAATTATTTTAGTGGCTCAATAAAGTTATTTTCAGATCTGTATCTTACTAAATTTTTAGATATTTCAGCAAAATCGTTCGTATAAATTATTCTTTCCATGTGCGCTCCAGACAGACGAATATGGACTTCGCACGTTTACGCGGGAGAAGGATCTCAAAATGCAAATTCAATTTCTCTGAGATTCCACATGTAGATATAGGTGATTTATAAATTCACCAAACAAAGCCCTATTGAGTCTCCTCTTCTTTAATTTACTTTTTTTTATGATTCGGTGATGTATATCTCGGGGTTGTTCGTCGACCGTAAGCTCGTTTAACTTAGACTCCGTTTTTAATTAACATTCTTTCGTCTGTCGTCCGAGCATGTCCTTATTGTGACCTTCGTAGGGCGCGACGCTGATGTCATGGGTCAGCGGTCTCGTAGACGCACCGTTGCGCCTATTATTCTTTTATTCGACTCGCGGGTTCTTAACTAGAGTTTTACGATCTTCTGTTTGCTTTTGTCCTTACACTAATTAATATTATTTCTTCTTTTTGCCGGACAAGGGGGCTGGGTCACGGACCTGGAGATAACGAGCTCTCTGATATTTTTCATTTTTTTATTTGGATTTGTCATTTGTGGGTAAATTACCGTTTATTGCGTCAATGGCGCGCGAAGACGACTTGAGGACACTTTGTGGCGTGTCGGGGAAAGACGGGTCAAACGAACGACCCACTTATGCGTTCCCGCGTGGCGACAGATTATTTGCATTAATTGCCCGTTTCTCAATGAAGACGCTCGTCTCCGCGAAGAGTACGCGCGATCGGGGACACTCGAGAGATCCTTCGTCATCTATACGCGCACAGAAGCAGCTGCCGATGCAGTTCTCTGAAGCATGTAGAACAAGGAACACACTGGAGTACGCATCGTTGAGTAGAATAATTTTGCGCTTCATGTATTATAAGAATGTTATACGGATTATGTAAATTTTCGCGAACGCGTCGCGACTCCTGTGACTCTTCGACTAATTTCTAATCAATTTTTCTTTAATCTTAAGAATACGAAAAAGAATGATTATTGCTGAAGTATTTGAAAAATTTAGCTAGATACAGATCTGAGAATAATTTTGTTGGACCATCAAAATAATTATGTAGGAAACTTACTTTCTAAATCTTTTAGAAACCTTCTTTGAAGAGTAAAATTTCACCCTTAAAGAAAATTAAACTATTTTTTTGAAAGACTAGCTCAATGTTCTCTTTAGAGTGAGATTCCACTTCAAAGAATTTAGAAAGTAAGCACGATGAACAATCCTGCAAAAAGTTTTGACATTTTAGTAACTAGTTTGAGCGTCCTGTATGATTATTTTGATATGGTTTAATACAATTATTTTTAGATCCGTATCTAACTGAATTTTTAGATATTTCAACAAAACCGTCTATTCCGTAAAAGTCTCAGTTTGTTTAATGAGATGTGATAGTTTAAGTCAAAAGCAATTAAATTTTGTTCACTAAAAGTAAATATTGTGCCTATTTCTTTTTACGAAAAATGTTTACTCCTGAAGAGTGTAATTCTGCTACGTATGTTTGTGTGTGTGATTTGTATCTTATAGAGAAGTGCATGTGCGTATTTAAATTTAATTAAGTACCATCGGCTGGAAAATCGGTATCGTTACGCAAGCGCGTGCGCTTGTCCGAACTCAGGAAGCTGAATTCACAATCCTCGTTCCAGTCTGGTAAATTTCATCAATATTATAATGCAGCTGATTCGGGTGACACTCGTTTCAGAGTTACGTGATCCGTAATAGACGATCGCATGGATTGTGCGGGTAATAGCGTTAAGCTCGTTGCCGCGATGAAAACAGTTGAATCGCCGTCAACGAACGAATTGTTTCAATCTAATCTTAAATTATTAAATTTCTCGATGTATATTTGCCTTATTGACAGAGATTGATTATAAAGGGAATAGAGTTAAATTTAAGTCTTTTTTATTATTATAATAAAAATTGATTATAAGCTCCGAGATGTTATTTTTAACTAATTATTTTCTAACTATATCTTTAATCTATGATTAAACAATTTTTAATAAAGTTAACATAAGATTAATAAAGAAGATAATAAATATCCAAGGGTTAAACATCGCAGAAGTTGGTCTTAAAAGAGAGAGTACAAAGATACATATCTAGGAAATCTCCAAATCGCTATTTATATACAACGTGGAATATCGTCTAAATTAAACTCCCGCAATTTCATACTCTGTCGACTCTTCTAAGGTTTATTTTTTATTGCTACACTAGATTGGACTAGAAAATTCCTCTTCCCTTTTGCCAAACTTCAAACATATACCTATTTCACTTTAAGTACAAAAAGTATATACTAAATTCAATTATAAAAAACAGACTTCTAAGCTATAAAAAAAAACTTTGAAAGCTATAAAAAACTATAAATTTTTATAGCTATAAAATCTATAAAAAGGCTATAAAAAAACAGCTGTAAAAACAGATTTCTCAAATAAAAGAATTAGAAGTCAAAGAGAGAGATTGAACGGTTTGTTCGGTAGAATGTTATGCGTGGAGACGTTGCACAAGTCTAGAAAGACTTCCATCATTCTCTCTAGAATGTCTTATGACGAATCATGCAGCATTTAAGCTGCCAACACCTTGAAGTCGTTCCAAAGCAGACGGGATGACGCGTCTCGCGGCCGGCCCCAACATTGCAAACTCTTGGCAGCGTTATTGTTGTCAATTGCCAGTTGTTACCGAACCCTACATACCGCTTGAGCACACCTGGTTATGCGACATTGGTGTCTCTCGAAGTTGCGCGAAGTTAGCGAAAGGACTGAGAAGTTTCATTAGAGTAAATTAAATTATTTAAAATTAGATAAAAATAGGTCGTGAAATTAAAATAAAATATATAGAAATTAGAATAAATGCTAAAAGAAGAAAACATAAAAAGATTTTAGTAAAAAATTTGTTATTCATTATAAAATACATGATCCTTTCAGGATGTGGACCGCACACTGCCAAAATTTAGTATTCATCGCCTTTGTGTTCTTTATACCCTCCGACGTGAAAGGCATCCCGGATTATTCTGGACTGCCACCGGGACCGTATTGTGCTTCGAGGTATCTTGAAGGCAGTTGTTGCCCAGGACGACAGGATGAATGCAGCGCGCCGATCCTCAAGACGTTGTGCTACTGCGACGATTTTTGTAACCGAACTCGCGAAGAAGACTGCTGTCCAGATTACTGGTACCATTGCAGAGGGCTGCCAACCACCACATCGGGACCCGAGGAGCTAAGGAGTTCGTATATGTAAAATACAATTATGGAAATAAAATTTAGACGTATATAAATTTATAATAATCTATTATAATAATTTATTTAATGTGTGTTTGTATAATTAGACTTATCTTGCATTTGAAAAAAATAAGTCTCAAGCATTGAAATTGCATAATTGTTTACAATGATGGATTATAATGTAACTGTTCATATTTTTTTACCACCGATACGTTAATTAAGTTTATGTTTTTAAAGTCTCTCGTGTGTTGTTTCAGTATGCTTCTTCCAAGGAAAAGAATATTATTACGGGCAAACGGTGAAAGTTAATTGTAACATATGGTAATATCTTCTCTTCCATTTTTAATGTAAATAAACGAGAAAAAGTACCCGTGCGAATATTCTGTAAGTTTTATTTACATTGCAGTAAATGCTCGTCGCTTGACAAGCGCGCCGAAATGCTCTGCGAGGAGAATCGCTGTTTGATCGAGCCGGAGTTGATGGAGGAGCTCAATTTGCAAGGGTCTACTCTAGGTTGGCAAGCGGGCAATTATTCTGAATTCTGGGGAAGGACACTTCGGGAAGGTGTGGAGCTTCGTCTGGGCACTCTCAATCCCTCACAATCAGTGAGTGTTTTAGAATCATTACTGAGATCGGGTTTAAGTAATCAAAAGTCTGTCCATAAATTATCGCATATAAAACATTTGCTGAATATTTTCCTCGACAGTGAATCTTTATAACCTGATCACAGCAAAATACGCTTAAAAGCGACAATCAATTATTCAAGAAGACCAATTTAAAAATCGCTGTAGGAACGGAAAGTTTTTATACAGCGGACTTGCACGAAACTCTCTTTATACTCGATGAATTCAAAATAAGGAAACCTTAACACGTGGCTGTCTATAGACGCAATACCATGTAAGATTAGGTCAATTGCTTAACTTGTGCAACCAAAGTTAAAATTCTAATGGCTAAAGCAATCTTTTGTACTTTACTGCGGGGCTCTCATGAATAAGAAAGCACCCAACGACGTTGCTTACAGCGTCTTTTAGTTCTTTAAAATGCCTGAACTCATTGCTCGAGGACGCGAATATCTTTTCCCCGATTGTAAATGAGATCCGTCAAAGTGCGTGCAGGTAAATGAAACATGCGATCAAAGAGGTCCCAGGGCCATCTCGCTTAAAGCTCCCTTAATTTGTACACAATCTTCATCATGGATTCTATTATTTTATAGATTAACTACAAGCATAAAATAGATCATTTTGATTTCGACAATGGGTTAGCTTGAATAATTAAAGAGACTTTTAATATATTAATTTATTCAATGTCGTGTCTGAAAGTACATTTCGTTCTATGATGCACTGCTTTCTTTTGCGTAGGTGTATAAAATGAACCCGGTGCGACGTATTTACGATCCGGATGCACTGCCGCGGGAATTCAACTCCAGGACGCGCTGGTCACGCGACGTATCCGGTGTTCATGATCAAGGATGGTGCGGCGCGTCCTGGGCCATATCCACGGCCGACGTTGCGACCGACAGGTTCTCCATCATGAGCAAAGGTGCCGAGGATGCAGAGCTGAGTGCCCAGCATCTGCTCTCTTGCAACAATAGAGGACAACAAGGCTGCAGAGGCGGTTATCTTGATCGCGCTTGGCTCTTCATGAGAAAATTCGGGTACTTTTTTTACAATCTAACGGTGAATGAATTCAATCACTCCCACTGGATCAGTATAAATTAAAGGCTGCTTTTATATAAAGTACCTAAATGTAGTAGTATTGATAATACAATGAACTTTGATAATAAAACAATACATTTATACTGTATTAAATAATGTGACAATGTTTAATCGCTTAAAATGTTCATTACGTTTTTACATTTAACTTTATCAATTTCATGTGTAACAGCTTTTAGTATGCGCTACTGTAAGTGACTGAATTTGCTATGGCATTCTCTTTTAAATGTTAAACAATATTCTTAATTGTATCTACACACAATCTTGATCATAAATTTTATTATTTGTATATTAATTACAAGTGTATATATATATATATATATATAATAGATCATTTTGATTCAACAATAAATTGATTTAAAGAGATCTTTAATATATATTATTATTTTACATCGTGTCTAAAAAGGCGCTTTGTCCTATAATGCACTATAGTGAATTTCTGCTCAAACACGTGACTTTAATATCATTAATGTTCCTGTCACAGACTGGTGGATAAGGACTGTTATCCTTGGACCGGTAAGAACGATCAATGCAAACTACGTAAAAGAAGCAACCTACAGGCCGCCGGTTGTCGAAAGCCACCAAACCCGCTGAGAACAGAATTGTACAAGGTCGGGCCGGCTTACCGTTTGGGCAACGAGACTGACATTATGCAGGAGATCCTGACCTCTGGACCAGTGCAAGGTAGTCGCTATAACTCAAACAGTCACCCATTAATCGAAATTCTAAAATCGCAAGAACAAGAAAGTTAAAATAATATCAGTACATCATATTGGCCGATTATTGATACAATTTATGCTATTTTTTTTATTCATGATTCAATCAGTATGACATTATTTTTTTCTTATTCCCCTTCGGATGTATTGACATTTAAAGTCGTTATGTAAGTTATGTTCCGTTGAAGGAGGTATAATGTTGCGCGATATTAAGAGAATATTATATAAAGTAATGTCTTTTTTTTTTAAAGCTACCATGAGAGTCTACCAAGACTTCTTCGTTTACAAAAACGGAGTATATAGGCACTCTCAAAGTGCGGAATTACATGATTCCGGTTATCACTCGGTAAGAATAATCGGTTGGGGCGAAGAGAGGTCTTATCGCGGTCCACCGCTCAAATATTGGGTAAGTTTACACGATATCACACCCATATCACACGATAACATTTATAACGGTCTAAGAGAAAAAAGAAAAGGTTTAAGAAGTGGCACAAATGTACATAATTTTTTTATACGTGATCATCGAATACCGTAAAAATGTCCCAACTTTTGAAAAGTTAAAATAATTAGAAACAATTAATTCCGCTAGGAATATTTACTAAATTGGCATTGATCGACTAATCATTTCTGGCTAGAACGTATTATAAATTATTGCGATTTAAAATAATAAATAATTGAAATTTAATCTTTTTTTCAGCTGGTCGTAAATTCCTGGGGATACAACTGGGGAGAAAACGGGCTCTTTAAGATCCAAAGGGGAACGAACGAATGCGAGATCGAGTCGTACGTGTTGGCGGTATGGGCCAAGACGATATAAAAAGAAGAAAAGAAACGAGGAAAATACCAAAGTACTAGAATATCCGATTGTCATAACACTGTTGGTGCATTTATTGAATCTCCGTCGTCGGTCCATCGTCATGCGCAATGATGCGATTGCCATCGGGGACAATGAACGATACATCGATGTTCGAAAGTATGTGATCCAATTGCCTGATCCGTACATGCCTTATTACACGTAGGATCGGGAGGGAAGGAGGCAGAAACGAGAGGGAGACAGAGTTGTTTATAAATATTTAATATAAGTACGTGGATAGTTGAAAAAAATATCATCGTTATTTTCTCATTATTCGTAGACAACAATAATCGTTTTACATAGAAACGCTCTCACCGTTACGCGTTGATGATCGATATGCTGTAGCAAAAGTCATATCTCTTTCACGTAATATCATCCACGTGTCGCGGTGACTTCGATGTGTAAGAAGTACTAAGTGCCAAGCGCTTGAAATAAATTTTATAAGTACGTAATAGTCTCTTTTTCACTTCGTTAAACGATACAATTATACTTCTACTCGCGGAGTTAAATACTTTGCGTTTAATTGCGTTTTTTTTATTTAATCAGTTAAACCTTTTTGTGTTCTATTTTTAAAATTAGACACACGTACGTTATGTGTGAGGAATACTCGTCATGGAAAACATATATATTAAAACAATTAGAAACTTCACTGGTTCAGCAAATCTTCAGTCGTAGTATGTAAACAGTCAGTTTTGTACGTCAAAGTAGCAAAGTTGTACAACTGAATAAAATAGCGATTATAGGTAATCACATTTGTTGTAATTTGTAATATAGTACCGTTAATATAGCAAAGATAACTTTCTATGAAAGTCAGTTCAATAGATCAAAATTTTTAATAAAACATGCTAACTAAGATAGCGTTCTTTTGTCGCTGTAATGAAGAAAACTTGTTCCATTGGCAATTTTCATTGTAGCAATTAGCTGAATTAGCATACTAAAAACTGCTTACAGATATAATTTCTTCGTTAAACCGTCAAATCTTTTCTTGCATTATAGATGTTAAACTCGCGCAGCAAGCTATAGCTTTGCTGAACCACTCAATCTAATTTTTCCGTGATGATGCTCCCATAAGGTAAATGGCAGTGTAATAGTGTATTAGGATGTGATACCACTAATTATGTTCTTAACAGATAATCGAGCTTTTTGTACAAACTTGTGCAAGATGGACAATATAATTTCCTTCAATTCTTTCCTATCGAGTTCTTTCTGTAATTGACTAAAATAATTTGTATCAAATACATACGGCATATAACACGCAGTATTAGGCACTCGAGGGACGATTGTGCACGTTTTGCATCACTAATTAAGAGGAACTTTCCTACGTTGACTTCATTGTCAGACTACGACGCTTCGCCTGTTGCTCTTGCAATGGGGACTGTACACTTCTAATTTGTCCCGCGGTGTGTTCATCGCGGAATAATCGATGGGGAATGGTATAGTATTACCGCGAATCATGCAAGCATCCGTCATGCCCAGGAAATGCTCTCCCGGTCCGAAGGGGCCGCGGCCGAACAAGAAATTGGCGAATATTAACTGATACTGCGCCCAACCAAGAGGATGGTCTCCATTCTGAAACGAAGTTTTCCTATCGTTATTAACAAATTTTAATTATTAAGGATTAATTGCTATTATAAAGAAGTAATAAGAATTTATAATAAAGAAATATAAAAGAATTTATAATGTTCTTTCTGCAATAATGCTATTAGTTTAGATCCTGCACAACCTTACTTTAAGAAATCGTAAGACATCGAGCTGTAAGAAATTGGCCACAATCATAGTCGATTATTTTTCTCATATTCAACTGTGATTGGTCAATTTCTTACAGCTTTACGATTTTTTAAAGCAAATTTGCGCATTTAGATTAGAACAAAGTGGACCTATAGATTAATGGCTTATTGTAGATTGTGTATAAGACTTTTTACTTCCTAAAGTTACGACTTTTCTTAATCCTCCAAATCCTAATATATTTATTCGTTTAAACTCTCTCGTTATCTAAAATTTAAAAAAATATCTACTCGATACAGATAAAAAATTTAGTCGCATTAAATTACAATTTTAATTCATTATGAAATTATTTTAGAAATATAACTAACCGAAGTCATAGAATTGTACGCGATATCCAGGCACTTGTTTATCCTGTCGGTGTCCAAGCCGACGACGGAACCATAAAAGGCCGCGAGTTCCTTCTTACTGATCATCCCGCTTCCGGAGCTATTTATGGCGAGGAAAAATACTCTGGGCATAACTTTAATCCAGAACGGCATATCGTTGTAACTAGCACCGTCCGGTGGTGCGACGACCTGCGCCCACCAGGATAACCAGACGTCGAGATTAATCTTTTTATCCGGCTCCGCGGGCTCTTTCTTATCCTGAAGGATCAATCCGGCGAATCCGTTTTCGATTTCTAGAAGCCTTAGATACTCCGGGCCGTTCCAAGACCAGTCAGCAAATCTTCTCAAACGCTTTCCGAAAAAAAAAAAAAAAGTTTATTTCTTTTGTGTAGATGTCTCGATGATTAAAAAGCTGCAGAGTTGTTTTAATATTACATTTTTATTTTATATAAGAATGAATGGAAAATCAAATTTTTGAAAGCAAAGTGTACCTCGGAGAAAAACGAAAAATCCTTCCTATTGATGTAACCATCTTTATCGTGGTCTAAGAGATACGTAAAAAAGTGAGAGAATTTATCACGTTGAATGGGGGCTAAGGACTCCGAGCCCCCACTTTTACTGAATTCAATGGCGGATAAACTGTCGTCACTCGGAAAGCGGCTCACCCAGGTCGCTATAGAACACGATAGTTAATCATATAATAATTTTAATTTTGATGATCAATATCCTCATCGCGAGAATAACAGAAAATGACAATAATAAATGAATTAATAATTTAAGTATAATGTTGTTATTAGTAAATAAATCAACTAACAGATATTAATGATTTAATTATTTGTTAAATGATAACAGAATAAATTGGCATTACTAAATAAATTAATACTAAATAAATTAATACGTTTGTAATGTAATTTCGACAAATATAATAATATTTTTACGCTATATAATGCAAAATGAGATTTGCCTCGATTATATCAAGCATTTTATAATTTCTGACTTTATAACTAATTTATTATTGTAAATTTCTTTTTTTTTTTTTAGAGAGAATAGAAATATAAGAAAATAAGAAAAAAATAAAACAGTTAATTTTTTAATAATACTACTATAAATTTTGTCAAAATAAAAAATTGAATTTTTGAAAGTGAATTTTGTAAAAAAATATAACTGCAAGATTAATTCTCCTTTCTATATAGCAATGTAAATTAACTCTATTTCGGTTCAACTTAAACCCGCGGCACATGATGTTTCTTTTTCTACTGAATTTCTTGCGTTTTAATAAATTATAACTAAAATTGGACCACACAGAACGCATAGAATTTCTAGTAATTTACTAAAACACAAATAATCCAGCAGGAAAACGTACATCGTATACATTACTTTTTACCTTCTAACTTTTAAAATTAGAAAAAGATAAAAAATAAGTTAAAGTGAAATTAGAGTTAATCTACGTTAGTAAAAATGAGGCCTGTTCTTTTTAGTTGAACTTGCACGGTTCATCTCTTTTCTCTTTTTCTCTCCAACGTGGAGAGAAAAGGAAGAAAGATGACCCGTGCAAGAACTTTAGCTAAAAAGAACAGACTTATATAGATATAAGTAACGATTAATTAAAATTAACAAATTAAAATCTGACAGACTCACTCCAAACGTGCACGCTCCAACCGGGCTGTTCCAGTTCGGGGGCGACGACGGGCGCGACGGCGAGCTCGTCGACGTTGCTGCTGGTCGTTCTCCATCTTTTCAGAAGATCCTTGGTCCGATCTCGCGTACGATCGCAGGCCTGCCGCCAGTTGGTGATGAATTTGCGAGGTACTTTAAGCGCATTGTTGTCGTCCAGGCTGATCTCCTGGCTGCCGAGCGAGCTGCGTTGACTCTTGTCTTGTTCGCCACCACCGCTCGACGTGCCGTCGTTCTCCGGATAATACATCGGGTCCTTTATGCTACCTGAGCGACTCTCCATGATGGACTACTTAGACGAACGTTATGCCTATAGCTGACGTTACATATATTTTAAAGGGGGGATTCACTCTCTCACTTGAAAATAATCAATTCCACCAGTCGCAGAGGTCACCGGGTCGCTCGATATTGCGACCGCGCCGTTTCGTCGCCGCGGAATCTTCCGTGGGGGTGCAACTAGGTGAAACGGCAAATGTGTAGACGCATAAATCTTTTTTGCACGACAACACTCTATTTCTTTTATGTGTAAAATTAATTAATTTATTTATTTTTAATATATACATTGATTGAACATTGTATTTCAGTCAGAAATGATTGGTCGATCGATGTCAAATGGATGTTGATCGATGCTGAATCTTGGCTGAATCAACATCGATACGACATTGGAGACGTTCGGAAATGTCGCTCGGATGCCTCGTTTAACATTTAATGTTAAAGAAGGACAGATGACGAATCCGAGGCATCGGAGGCATCCGAGTGACGTTTCTGAAAGCAACCATTGATTGATCAATTATTTCTAGCTGGGATACTCTCTCGTTTCATTTAGAATTGTAAAATTTATCGCAATTAGAAAAAGTAGATATACTATTATAGGAATGCAGCGGCTGCTCTTTGAATAACTTTGTTTTGAAAGAAAATTAAATGAATCGAACAAACTCGAAATCACCATCAAATGGATCAGAAAATGTGATATAAAAGAAATTGTCTTAATAAAATCTTCTATAAGTACTTTTCAAAGACATTCTGAACATATGTAAAATCTATGTAAAATATAAAGTTAGTTGTTTATAAATTATCTAATAAGTTATTAAATTAAATAATTGATAATTAATTATAGGCATATTTTATGACACTTAAAATTCGGGATGCATCGGATATCTAAAAAATATTTGGTATCCGGTATTATTCGGTACTTCTTTACTATCCGGTCAGATAGCAAGATATTATTAGTATCCGACAATATATCTGAAATTTTATGTTGAAAGTTTTAGATATACTAAAAAATAAAAAAAAGCAGTAAAATTAAGGCTAATGAGAATCAGCGCGGAAATGAGTGCGCACAAATATTAATTCATATACAGTAATTCATAATAATAAGTGATGTCAATTTATTAATTCTTTAGATATACTTTATTGATACAGAATTCTATTCTTTTCAGCTGAACTTCTTGCACAGTTTATGTGTGATTTCGCAGTTATGGCAGTTTATGACGATAATCGAAATAGATTGTCACCGGAAAATGCTGAAATGTTATTGTTCATCATGAAAAATTTATTAATATTAAAAATACAGTAACGCGATTTAAACGCGATATAACATACGATGTGATAATAATACATGATAAAATAAAATATATTAATGGAAATATTATCCCTTTCCTTATCTGAATCAGATTATACAAGCAAGATGTAAGTAAGAAATAAAAAAATGATGAAAAAGGGAAATTAATAATAAAATAAATTTAGATTAAAGATTTCAGGAAAACTGTGAGGGAAAGAAAAAGTAAAATCTGCGTATAAAAGTATACTTTTTTAGTTTTTTAGATACTAATTAAAATTATGCAAATTAATAGACACTCCAGATAGCGCAATCGATCCATTAAAACTTATAAAGTATTCATGAATAAAAGATGCACTTTTTTATAAGTTAGTAATCTGTTTAAAATGGACTAATAAATAGAAAAATATATACAAATATACATATTTGTATATAAATACATGTTTACGAATATACATATAAATAATATATAATAATAACTTATTTTTATAAATATAACGATTTGTTCTTATACAAAATTAAGAGATACACTGAACTGTACATAAACACAATAAAATATTCATGGAATTATGAAAAAATAATGAAAATTGATCCAATGAATTCTCATCATATGATTTAGATTATAAAACTATTACTAGAATTCTCATTGCAAAGATGAATATATAATTATATAAATGAATTCAGTTATCGTATCAATTACATTAAGTCGGACATTAATTAACGATCATTCATTGGACCAAACATTACTAAAAAGTTTTTCAGTGTAGAA